CTGCTGGCTTCCTTACAGACAGGATCCACCAGGGCCCAGAGCTCTTCGGAAGGAAGATTCCAGTTACCTGACTAGGCCTGTACCTTCACTGCTGAGTGCCGGCTGTAGGTGGAGGGAGCGCAGAGCAGGCACTGCGGCCTCATGGCCTGTGGCTGCGATGAGGCTAGCATTCCCCTTTGTGTGTCTGGTGCATTCCACGTGAACATTTCCTTTCTGTCTTCCCCTACCCGCCGCTGTGCTAATGCGATGGTGATGGGAATGGCCAACAATGTGATTTAAATAAAATGATAGATTTTTTTCAACATCAAGGGGCCACCCCAGAGGTGGCCAAAATGGCAGGCCTGGAGGCGGGTGCACACACTGGAGCCTGGGGGGCCTGGGGCACCCTTTGGGAAAGGGTGAAGCTGTGCGGGGTCAGGCGGAGGCTTGGTGTCCCTGCTTTTGTTTCTGGGGGCCGGGGGAGGGGGGAAGAGGAGTGTGTGGCAGGGACGGCTGCTGCCCTGGCTGCCCGGCCTCCGAACCTCCCTCCCGCTGGGTGAGCCTTGTGCCGCGTCCCTCCTCCAGGCCAAGACGGTCCAGATGCTTGATCTCTCAGACCCGGGCCAAGAGTGGTGGGCACGTGGCCCCAGCCTGGCGAACCGGATGCTCCCATCGGCGGCCCTGTGCCTGGAGCGTGTATCACAGAGAAGCAGGGACGGTTTAGAATTCCTGCCCTGCTCTCGGTGGGGGCAGCCTCTGGCTCCCAGAGCCCGGTGGTGGCGTTCTAACAGGTTGTCCCCACAGGACCCCAGGCCCGGTCCCCCTGCCTTGGACTAGATTCTTTGGGTCTTCCACGGTCCTTCAAGCGCACCCTTCTGCCTGGCCTACCCCATTGTGGGCGTCTTTTCTCTGTGGTCCAGCAAGCTGCTGGTGGGCATTTAGGCTGTTTCCAAACTTCCACTGTTACAGACAGTGCTGAGCTGAGAGCCTGCCCCACGTCCCTGTGCCCTGTGCGAGGACTGACGGAGGGCAGATTCTGAGCAGGCGTTGGTCCCTCCACCAGGAACACACCCTCCGCCCGTGCTCCCCACGGCGGCTGCTCCTCACTCTTCGCGCCTTCCCTGAGGCCCAGCCTCAGCAGCCCCAGCCCGCGCCTCCCGCCTCGCGCCCCGGCTTCCCTCGCCCGCCATCCCAGTTGTAGTCACCCCAAGTGTTGGCTTACTTGGGATCGCCCATCTCACTCATGAGACCATGGCTTCACACGGAAGGGGCCGTGTCTGCTCACTCACTGGACCCCAGCGCACCTGGTGCCAGAACGCCGCATGGGCCCAACCACCCTTTCTGCAAGAACACAAGAACTTGGGAACCACGGAGCAATTTTAATGAGCTCAGACAAGGGGCGGCGGAGGGCAGAGGTGAAAGGCCGTGTGGGACCAGCCACGTCTGGCTGCTCTCCGACAAACCAGCCGGGCAACGGGAAGTGAGAGTTCTCAGCTTTGGAGTGCACTAGTTGAAACCTTCCAGTAATTTCTTTGGGCTCCGAGAGCTCAGCGGAAGCAGGGGAGCCATCTGGTGGCCGGATGTTGCAGGTGGCTGCAGAGAGGCGGTGAAGGACGGATGGGAACCGGCCTGCAGGGCGTCCCGGGAGGTGCCTGGCTTCTGTGCGCTCCGGCCCCCCGGCCCGCGGCCCCCCGCCTAGTCCACGCCCGAGGAGTTGGTCAGGTAGAACGGACGGATGACCACCTGGAAGCTGCTGAAGGATCCCACTGGGCAGGGGAAGAAGGAAGCCCTCCTGGAGTCGTTGGTGCCCAGGGTGCTGGGGATCAAGGCCTTCCGGTCCTCGAAGTCAGTGACATCCGCCACGAAGTGCCCCTCACACAGCATCAGAGCCTTGTTCTCATAGCCGACGGTGGGATCCGAGTAGCCGGACTTGGAGAGGGCCAGGAGCGGGGGCTCGTCAGAGGAGCACGAGTGGCCGTA